AATTCACGTTGCAAGGACATTATGGGAAGCACCTTTCCATATTTTCCGCAGGACTTTCCTTTTTCACATAATTTACTGATCGACCCACAGCCAAGTCTGAGAAACCACTGTATAGACCAAGTACGGAGTTATTTACCTCTAGAAAGGTTGTCGAATTTGTAGCGCATAACCAAGAACGAGCCTGATATTTCTATGTATGAGCCAACACTATACTTCGCAGGCCAGAGCGCGTAAAAATTCACTACATTTGATTCAGAACGCTCAATTTCCTCCATCAGCCTCAGCTCTCTCGCCCAAACAGCGACCGCAAAGGTCAACTCAGGCTTCATAAAGACAAGAGGGCGTCGATAAAAGCAGAAGTTGAGCGCCTCAGATGGCTTATACCAAATGCTGCGAATTTTGGAACGCACAGACTACCAGCGTAAACTTCTGGCTCACACACGACATTCCTTTTACTGTGTTCCAGTTAAAATCCACTTTCTGTGCAAATCCCGTAGCAACTGCAAGGCCAACTGACGGAGCAGCCACGAAAAGGTAATAGAACCAAATACATGTGGTGGGCAAAGGTAGCTGAAGGGGGCAGTGCTGTCGCAGTGCGCGGCATGTCTGCGTCCTCTCAGCGAGGTAGTGTAAACTCACACATTCCAGCTTTTACGCATGTCAAGCGACTCACTCCACCGTCACCCATTCTGAAGTGCCTACATCCCCTGGCTCACGGATTCCTCGCCCTGCACGAAAAGGCGCGAACACGCGAACATGACGCGCGCCGCGGCGGGACCGCTCCCCTGATTACCTTAGCATGCCAAATAAGCAAAAAAGCACGTTTCTAAGCAACAGAGAATGACGTCAGTATTAAGAGGCCTTAAAAGAACCTCCTTGTTGTCGATATTTCATTTGTCACTTTATCAGTGAAGCATGAGCGAAACTAAGTAAGTTAACGAAACATAAAATGGACTAGTTTATATCAAAACTGATCGAAAATAATATCGTACAATTCAAAATAAACATAAAAAACATAACCATAAATAATGCGTAACAGGCACATGCTCGAATTCGTTCAATGTGTAAACTATCGAAGAGGCAAACATCGGAAGAAATTAGCCGGCCCTCGTCTTAACATGCGATTCGCCATTCGTGTACACGGGCAAACTCACATTGTAACCTTTTGAGGACACCTCGAGTTCTTCATTAAGTCCATGAAGTCCAACGAACAATTTGTAGATCCAGGCGCCGAGAACGGCGCCAATCAATGGACCCACAATCGGAATCCAGAAATAGAATCCATAGGCACTGAAATAAACAATAAACAATTTTTGTATAAATGCTATTGTTTACAGGGTATCGTGGGACTTTCCCCGTTTTCACCCTGTCTTTCGTAGGCGACTCTCATGTAGTTGGAGCCTGGCCTCATAAAGCAGTCTGAAGAAAGGAAAAGGAATGTGTTTAGAAACTTTGAAAGTCGCTCTCTGTGGTCACGAGTTGCAAGATCATGACACAACGCTGCGGGCACGCAATGCGGCGAGTGGGCGTGTCGGCAGCGTTGTGCCGTGACCGCTGCTGACACGCCCACTCATCCGTGATTGCGCGCCCGCTGGAGCCAACCAATCAGAGACGATCAGGTTCATTATTGGTAGACAATTTGAAAATTAGAAATTTACCCGAAGATGGAAAAAACAGCAATGTGTGGGAATGTGGACGCAATAGTTCTCGTCAAGTGAATTGCAGGTTGAGCTACCTGCTAAAGAAATTGTGGTCACTACGACCTCCTGACCTCTCCCCTACCTCCCCATCTTCTCGATGCGTCAAGTCGATGGTGTCATATTGAACGTAGTCATGACATGACAGATTTTGCAGCGATCGTCCTGTCCTGTCATTACGCCCATTCTCTCTCTACGCAATTCCCCATGCAGGTGTTCGGTTCCTATCTGTATATGGATCGCCCCTTTCACGACTTCAGCTAGACAGAAGCGCCTCTGCATGACCGCGTGAGGTCGCGCTTCTTACCACGTCGCATGGCGTCCAAACCACAAGCCCACTTCGGCAACTGCTCATCAGGGTGAGACTATCCCTCACGGCACTTGCCCACTAATTACAGCATTCGCTGGCATAGACCATTAAGAGCCGAAGCACTGCTCGGTACACCTTCCCTTTCAACTTATTGGACCATCTCCAATCACAGAGGATACCGAAAGACTCCCTTCAACCCATCCACGCTGCGGTGATTCGGGCTTTTCTGCTTGGTCAACGCCACAGTAAGTGTTGGTGGTTTTCCAGGTATTGGAAGTCCTCCTACCTTCTTTATTCCTTCCTCAGCGCTGTCGACGATGGCTGTGTACCCTGTTCATAGTCAGGAACTTGTACTCCTGTACGATGAGACAAAAGCTGACGGCAATCTTCCTATTACACACCAGAAAAAGGACGCCTGATCGGTTGTCCGATTGAAGGCGGACAGCTACGTAAGCCCACTTCCCTGACAACGCCTTATTCAGCCACAGTGTTAGGGAGCATAAAGGGAAAAAATTTTCGGTTGCAGTTCTTTTCTCAACCGCCCACAAGCAATGTCTCGTGGAAAAGGACATACACCAAGCAGCTCTCCAACTTTGCACGAGAGATTTTGGCTTCTCTATTTTTATGTCTTTCTTGAGCTATATTGGCCCACAGGTTCGATTTCATTTCACGTTATATCTTCCCATTTCTAATAACCTCGGGTTATACGATGACCGCCCAAGACTTTTCAGTTTTCGTAAGATTCCCTCAGAATGTATGAAGGACGTTATTTTGAAGAAATAGGTTCGATCCTGTTTTTCTTCCATCTGGTTTGCAACGCGATTAAGTTGTTAAAAGTACTGTTGACTTCCGCATTGTCGTGGCGTTGGCAAAAAGAAAGCAGAAAAGCCGACGAAAACACTAAACTTAAAGGTGCAACTGTCCTATGGACCAGGCGTACGGTACGTGCAGAGATGGAGCGAGCAGAGAAGGCAGAGTACTGCGGAAAGACACCGGCCTCTGGAGCAGCGCGACAAAGATAAGCGTTTGCGAGGCCTCACAGATAATAGTACCGATCTTCTGGCTAGTCGGAGCATTAGAAAGAAGCCCCAGCGCAAGTTTCGAAGAGCAATCCGGGTCACGACGTCGTCAAAGCAGCTCTATTGCTGCGCAATGCAAGCCTAAAAGGTTTTTTAAGACATAGTCAACTTTATGATCGAGCAATTCGCTAGCGCTTCGCGGTCGCGTTCGTGGCCGAGAAGCTCTATTGGCGTGGTAGCGCAAGCGACCCGGGCTACCAGCCAAATGCGTAACCAGCGAATCGCTTGGTTCGCAAAACTTGGATCGCATGTGCCGGCAACCGTCGATGTTCTAGCAGGCCAATAAAAGTGTTCACAAGGGAATGCTTCGAGCCTCCCATGCTGTTTTGAAGGGAGACCTGGGCATACTGAAAAGTCAAAACACTGATTACCAATATGTATACCATATCTGCTACGCTAATTCTGCTTAAAAAAAGAAGTGACGTTTGATCAGCAACGCGTATACCGGGCCGAGTGTGGTCGGTTAAGGCTTCCGAGGCAAGGGCCCGTCCGTTCCAAACGTGTTCGACGGGGTGTCGGCATTTGTTGTCCTGGGAGGGGAGAGGGGTCGCATTGGTCGCATTGCGCGCTTTGGTGATCAGGGGCGCAGGGCATAGGTGTGTGCGAAAAAAGTTGTTGTTTCACTGGTTGTATATACCCCCCTACCCCTCATCCCCCGCTCCGACGGCTGTTTTTGGGGAAAAGTGGGTGGAGTTTGGAGTGTTAGGTAGGTTTTGGGCTGTGTCAACTGGTCTCAGAATCAAATACTATAGAAGAGGGAGAGGTCGCGGTGGGGGAGAAGGCTGGTTGTATTGGGGGGGGGTCGCAAAAATCCCGAAAATGTTCGAACGTGACGGTTGACCCTGCTCCAGACTGTGGTTGGTTCTTTGCGTCACAAGCAGAAGCGGGCGACCCGCCAGGATATTGACCACAAGCTTTTCGTAAGAAACATTTGTGTCACTTATGACTATCTACAAAAGCACAAGTGTTATGTATGAAAATGTGAGGGAGACTGCGGTTTTTCGAATCACAACTGAGGGCATTGATGGAGTGAACCCTTTATGGTTCAGACCCTCTCTTAGCGCTTTCCGCCGAGGCAATTCACTCTGATAACCTCGCTACCCTAAAACCATTGTGATCCTTGCCTTTGAATCGCCAAACATGTTCGGCAAAAATTTGAAGGAGCCAAAAGAAAGGGCAGAAATTCGCGATAAACTTTGAAATTTCTCCTGTGCAAGTCACTACCACGCTACTAAGCAGCAAACTTTGTCAAGAGGGGTAATACATAACCAAGAAACTTAGGCAGACAGCTCACAGGTAGAGCTCTCGCGTCTTCCAGGAGTTTCTGTTCCAGCAGTGATTTCGGGAGCTGCTTTCAGGCTCCTACACTTCCTTATGTTGAAGTGGTGCAGTGGTAAGTGGGACCACTTTTCACGCACTCACTTTGGGGATTCAGATCTGGCCTACTTAATCACAAAGGTCAACTTGTGTAGGCCTAAAACAGATTAATTGCCACTATGATTCTGTGTGTAGGTGGAAGTCGAGTGCGTGGCACATTCCAGAGAAGTTATTACGAACTAATGATCTTGTCCTTTCTAACCTTTCACATCGCTTCTATAGAGGGGAATTTTGGGAGTGCAAGGGTGAGGAACAGAAAAAACAAAAAAAACCAAGACAATTACGAGACCAAAAACATTCATGGAACGATGCTTCGACCCCCCCCCCCGAGGAGTCAGCGTTTGCAGTTTTTTTTTCTGTGATTCGTTCCAATCGTTTTATAAATGCTAATCGCAATCAAGGCGACTGATCTCTGATCACAGAACTTCAATCGTGTCCAGTCTGCGTGCGACTGACTTTCCTATACATTCTTCGTTGCGATGTGTTCGATTCGCATTAGAACTGATTGTCCCAATTAGATTATCAGTGCGTAGACGAAGGCACTCGCACCAACCTGAACACCTGCCATCCGTAACCTGCACAAAAGCGTGAAGCATCCTTGACCAAGTATCTCCGAGCTGCGGATTGATAGCAAACCGCCGTTGCACCAAATTGCTGGCAACTGGAATTGGTGAATTTCCCAAACTGTATCGATATATGAGATTGCACAAAGCTCGCAAACCATGCTCATGATGACCCAGCAATGGTGGGCACCGAACCAGCCCGGATTTCGTGTCGTTTGTACGTTAATCTGGCAGGATGAGACCGGCAAGTATTGCTGTGCTATGATCTGCAAACGAGCCTATTTATTTGGAGCAAAACCATCAGTTACGCCACACATGGTTTATTTGCCTGTTACGTATTTTTAACCAGTTGGCGCCGCACGCATTGCGCGCGCAACACAGATCTGTGGCGAATTTTGATGGTGCGACGAAAAATTTCAAATTTGGCTTGATACAATACGAATATCTGAATTCTCCGCTAAATTCTATGCGCTCTTTCTTCGTCAACCATTATCCTATTTTTCTCGGTCCTCGGCCCGGACAATAAATCTCGTGGCGAACTCCGTCTACTTCGGTGCGTGCCCTGCCGACCAATAGCATTTGGCTCCCTTCTTTTCGCCGACCTCTACCTCCCTTTTTCCCAGCCTCCTGGACTTCTTGGGGCCGAGTTATGAATTTTCGTCGCAAACTCCGCCCACTTTGGTCATGTCCCTCCCACCATTGACAGCTGGCCTCCACTCCTCCACCCACCTCCATCCACCTTTTCCGCGGCCTCAGGGACTTCTTGGAGCCAAGTCATGAATTTTCGTCGCAAACTCCGCCCACTTTGGCCAAGCCCCGCCTACCACTGGCCTTTGACCTCCACTTTCCCACCCAACTATATCTTCTTTTTTCCCCACTCTCCGGGACCTTCTGGAACAGAGTTCTGAATTTTCGTCGCAAACTCCACCCACTTTGGTCAAGCTCCGCCCACCGATGACAGCTGGCCTCCACTCCTCCACCCACCTCCATCCCCCTTTTCCCCAGCCTCCGGGACTTCTTGGAGCCGAGTTTTATAATTTTCGTCGCAAACTCCGCCCACTTTGGTCAGGCCCCGCCCACCAATGACAGTTAACCTCCACTCCTCCACCCACCTCTATCCACCTTTTTCCCAGCCTCCGGACTTCTTGGAGCCGAGTTATAAATTTTCGTCGCAAACTCCGCCCACTTTGGTCAAGCCCCGCCCACCATTGACAGCTGGCCTCCACTCCTCCATACACCTCTATCCACCTTTTTCCGGCTCTTTAGGACTTCCCCGACCCGAATTATGAGGGCTTGTAGAAAATGCTGTACACTTCAGAGCGCGCCCCGCCCATTCTGGGCAGGCCTCCGCCCACGTCATGTATGCAGGAAACACCTTAGACATTGCTCCCTTACACCAAATTGTTTTCTGCTCTGTAGGCTTTCTCCCAACCGAGTTATGAAATTTTTCATAAAGCACTGCTTTTTTAGAGAACGCCCCGCCCACCGGGGGTGGGTCTCCCTAATTCGATGTTGACTTACCAATGCACACCTTAGCCCACTTTTTGGCCCAGTTTCGAGGTCGTTTTTTCACTGAAATCGAAATCTTGGTCTTTGGTACAATTCATTTCGACGCACGCCACGCCCTCTGTGGGCGGGGCTCCGCTTAGCTGATGTGTGTTTTGTATTACGTGAGACCCTGCCCACCCATCCCACACTTGACCCGGTCCCTCCAGGCGGATCCCGAGGAGCTAGGGAATTTCGTGACAGACATACAGAACGACAGACAGAGGGACAGAACGACAGAGGGACAGAACGACAGAGGGACAGAACGACAGACG